GATCACAATGTGTGTTTTTTAATGTAAGCTTATCATCACCTCAACAAATGTAGTGAGGTGTACCACAAGGCAGTTGCCTAGGACCATTGCTTTTCTCAATTTTTATTAATGACATGCCATTTGTCCTAAAAAGGTGCAACATAACTCTTTATGCAGATGATTCTGCAGGTGCTTCTTGCCTGGATTAATGAGAACAGACTAACCTTGAATGTTTCAAAGACAAAGTGTATGTTATTTAAAGCTAGGCATAAAAAATGTGATGATAAACTTGATATTGTGCTAAAGGATATGGACATAGAACAGGTTCAAGAGGTGAAACTACTTGGAGTAACATTTGATGAGCAGCTATCCTGGGAAAAACATGGTGGTGAAAAATATGGGAAGAAATATGTCTTGTATTAAAAGATTTAGATCTTTCATGACCTCAGCCTCTAGAATTTTGGTGGTTAAATGGTTAGTGCTGTCTCACCTGGACTACTGCTCTGTGGTGTGTTCAGGTGCAGCTCAGAAACATCTGGCTAAATTACAAACCGCACAGAACAGAGCGGCCAGGCTGGCACTAGTGTGGACTCAGAGCTCTGCTGGGCTGCATGCGCGTCTGTCGTGGCTCAGAGTAGAGGAGAGACTAAAATTTAATGTTTTGTGTTTCCTGAGAAATATTATTGTTTGTGGAAAACCTTCTCTTTTGTTCAGTTTGTTACATTATGTGAGAAATGAGCACAATTATTCAACCAGGCAGGCAGCTTCTGGTCATTTGACTCGACCCATTCTGAGAACAGGAGCAGTGTGCAGGTCTGTGTTGTTCAGAGCTGTGACTCTGTGGAACAAACTGCCTCATAACATCTCGACTGCTACTACGAAAGGTGCATTTAAATCACTTTTAAAAAACACTGTTGATAGCCTTAATATATGAATATTTGTGTAACATATTGGACTGTAATGAGATATAATTTGAAATGTATCGTGGTTCTTATGATGTGATCATTTAAAATGTTATGTGTATCTGTATAATTTTAAAGGGACCCCAGGAAGAGTAGCTGTCAAATTACTGACAGCTAATGGGGATCCAAATAAATAAACAATAAACAATCTTTAAGAGTTTTAAAGGGAAATTAATGAAAAGCCTAAATCAGCTGTTCCTGATTCAACTGACCTACAGGTCATCACCATGGTAACAGCATCAGGCCGTGCAACACACAGGACGGTTCACAATAAAGACAGAAAAAACTGAAAAAAACTCAAACTTTATTTACAATCAAAACAGGAACAAATTATTTACAGACGACATGTGTCA